CCAGTGATTGTTGTGCACCAGTGATTGGTGGGCAGTGCCATGAATCAACCTCCAGTGATTGTTGTGCACCAGTGATTGGTGTGCAGTGCCATGAATCAAACTCCAGTGATTGTTGTGCACCAGTGATTGGAGTACAGTTTCATGAATCAACCTCCAGTGATTGTTGTGCACCAGTGATTGGTGTGCAGTGCCATGAATCAAACTCCAGTGATTGTTGTGCACCAGTGATTGGTGTGCAGTGCCATGAATCAACCTCCAGTGATTGTTGTGCACCAGTGATTGGTGTGCAGTGCCATGAATCAACCTCCAGTGATTGTTGTGCACCAGTGATTGTTGTGCAGTGCCATGAATCAACCTCCAGTGATTGTTGTGCACCAGTGATTGTTGTGCAGTGCCATGAATAAACCTCCAGTGATTGATGTGCATGCCATGAATTGACATCCAGTGATTGTTGTGCAGGGCCATGATTCAGTATATATGCTTAATATGAAGAAGGACCTGCTTACCTTTCTGGAACACCTGATTTCAACAGTTTAAGTACAATTCTTGTGATCTAATCTGAACAAATGGCTGTTCTGTTTCTACTTTTCCATTCAGTTAATACAGGTAAAGGGCAAGAAAGACACTTAGGCTAAAAGATTCCATCTTGATCCCCAATGATTAAAAATGATACATGTCCATATGGTTTATTGGAAGATTTATCAACACAGTAAATTGGTAAGTATCCACTGGAGTTGTAAATACATCAAACATATCAATAGGAACCATTACTATCTATACAATTCTAAAGGTGTGTCAAGATAGTGTCTGTAGACCATGATAAGGAAATAACAATCCTGTTGCTGCTTTTTGTTGTGTTGAATGATATTATATTTCTATAGAATGAGCAAAAAATGCATTTTTCTAAACTTCTTAAACTATACCAAATTGGTTTATCATTGGCATGTTTGCAATAAATCAATTTCAGCAAAAATTTTCTACGATGTGACTGATAGGAACTCACATACATTTCTAAGATTATTGGTTTTTATCTGCTATGAAAGTAATATTGTTTTGGAGGTAGTGGATTTTCAGGTTTCGAGCCACATTATTTCATATCAAATGAAATATCCTACACATTTTCCATTGACTGACTCTGAATTTGTTAATCTTAAAACTTAAATCTAATAAAATGCTCCGCAGGGCGCAGCTTGATACGACCGCAGAGGTCGAACCCTGAACAGTTGGGGCAAGTATGGACACAACATTCAAGCTTGATACAGCTTTGCATTTGGATTGTGATTAAATATTTGACACAGCATAGGTTTCTGACACAGAATGAATGTGGTCTAAGAACATAAAAATTTTAAATTGGATATTCACCTATTATGGTCCAATATCCAAAATCTAAATACATGGTTAGATTCAGCATATCAAAGAACCCCAAGAATTCAATTTTTGATGAAATCAAACAAAGTTTAATTTTGGACCCTTTTGACCTCAATGTGGACAAAGTTGATAACGGGGCCCAAAAATCAAAAATATAAATACATGGTTAGATTCAGCATATCAAAGAACCCCATATATTCAATTTTTGTTGAAATCAAACAAGTTTAATTTTGGACCCCGATTTTGACCAACTTGAAAACTGGGCCCATAATCAAAAATCTAAATACATGTTTAGATTCAGCATATCAAAGAACCCTAAGAATTCAATTTTTGTTAAAATCAAACTAAGTTTAATTTTGGACCCTTTGGACCTTAATGTAGACCAATTTGAAAACGGAACCAAAAATTAAGAATCTAAATACACGGTTAGATTCGGCATATCAAAGAACCCCAATAATTCAATTTTTGATGAAATCAAACAAAGTTTAATTTTGGACCCTTTGGACCTCAATGTGGACCAATTTAAAAACGGGGCCCAAAATCAAAAAACTAAATACAAGGTTAGATTCAGCATATTAAAGAACCCCAAGAATTCAAGAATAAAACCCCATTGAAATTGGTCAAGAAATAAGCAATTTATATGAAGTATCTTCTTTTGCACAATACTGTGCAATTAAATATTTCTTGCTATTGCGCAATACTGTACAATTGACAATTTCTTGCTATTGCGCAATATTGTGCTATTGGATATTTCTTGCTATTGCGCAATACTGTGCAATTGAAGATTTCTTGCTATTGCGCAATACTGTGCAATTGAAGATTTCTTGGTATTGTGCAATACTGTGCAATTGAAAATTTCTTGCTATTGCACAATACTTATTATATAATAATTTAAACATCCTGTTTGGTGTGTATCTCATCTCCTACCATATCATTATTATTTGCTTTTAAATATAAATCAGAAATAACAAGAAAAAAAAAGGAAAAAAAGAAAAAAAAGGAAAAAAAAAAAATCCCCCCCCAAATTTTTTGAACCCCCTTATGATTCATCACCCCCAAACTCAATCCCAGCCTTCCCTTTGTGGTATGGTACCTTGCAGTACAATTTCAGAGAGATCCATACACTTGAACACAAGTTATTGTCTGGAAACTAGAAAAATGTGTTTTTTGGCCCCTTTTTGGCCCCAAATTCCTAAACATTTAAGGCAATTACCCCCAAACTCAAACCCAGCTTTCCCTTTGCGATATGGAACCTTGTAGTACAATTTCAGAAAGATCAATACACTTACACACAAGTTATTGTCCTGAAACTAGAAAAATGCTTGTTTTTTGCCCCTTTTTGGCCCCTAATTCCTAAAATATTGAGGCAATTACCCCCATCATCAATCCCAGCCTTCCCTGTGTGGTATGGTACCTTGCAGTACAATTTCAGAGAGATCCATATACTTGAACACAAGTTATTGTCTGGAAACAAGAAAAATGCTTATTTTTGGCCCCTTTTTGGCCCCCAATTCCTAAACGTTTCGGCAATTACCCCCAAACTCAATTCCAGCTTTCCCTTTGTGATATGGAACCTTGTAGTACAATTTCAGAAAGATCCATACACTTACACACAAGTTATTGTCATGAAACTAGAAAAATGCTTGTTTTTTGCCCCTTTTTTGGCCCCTAATTCCTAAAATTAGAGGCAATTACCCCCAAAATCAATCCCAGCATTCCTTTTGTGATATGGAACCTTGTGGTACAATGTCAGAGAGATCCATACACTAACACACAAGTTATGTCTGGAAGTTACAAAAATGCTTATTTTTGGCCCCTTTTTGGCCCCTAATTCCTTTACTGTTGGTACCATAACCCTCAAAATCAATCCCAACCTTCCTTTTGTTGTATTGAACCTTGTGGTAAAATTTCATAGAGATCCATTCACTTAAACTAAAGTTAGAGTGCGAAAACCAATGTGTCTTCGGACAACGCCGGACGACGCCAGACGACGACGACGACGCCAACGTCATACCAATATACGACCACAAAAATTTTTTTGCCATCGTATAAAAACCACAACCCAATAATTGTTTGACAAACTACGAAAAAATTGATAGCCATAAAGAAATTCTATCCACAGTATAATGATATCATCCTTGATTGAATTTTAAATAATTTTTAACAATATTTTCAATGGAATCTTAAAGAAATGGTGGGTATTGACTGTCAACAAATCAAATGTAAGTATTATACCAACCTATGCTCCCTGAACTGCACTCTAATGAATGGTCTCAGATTTATACATCATGGTAAAAAAGAAACCAACATTGTTATTTATACCGTCTCCAGAACCAAACTTAACAGAAAAACCATCAGAAGCACCCTCTTAAAAAAATATGAGCAAGGTTTTCCTTGACCCTTGCTTACTAACCAAATCTGGGGACACATTCCGTATATCGATAATACTAAAAAATAAAAATTCATAGTTGAAAGTTTTATATAACTGTAACATTAACTTTTGACCATAAGACCTCAAAATAAACAGGCTTTGTCCCTTTCCTATAATCTACCACTTGTATCAGTTTAAATCAAGTGTACCTCAAGTATTAACCAAGAAACAACAAATTGCAACTCATACCTCTTTATTTTCAGTCTTTTTAGACTTTAATTTAGCATCTGTGACCCTGACCTATGACCTAAAATTCAATAAGGTTTTTACCCTTCCCTGCAACTTTCTCAATCGTAAACCAACAAAGAAAACTTGAGCTATCATTTAGAAATTTTTTTCCCCTAAAAATATTGTATTTTTAGTACCAGCAACATTGAACATTTATCTATTGACCCCAAAATCAATAGGCTTCTTCCCCTGTCCTTTATTTTCAATTGATACAAGTTTCATTTTACTAAAGCAAGGCAAACTCAAGATTTTATCTGGAAAGCTTTTGTTTCAGACGACGAGCCAAAAAGACAGACAAAATTGAAAACAAAAATAAGCTATGACCCTTCTATGGAAAATTGAACTTCAACTGTATCATAACTTGGGCACATCATTCAGCTCAACCTGGAACTTATCAGTCACTTATTTGTGTGACCTAGCTGTTACAGTTCAGAAACAGAAAACAATAATATAATACTTTCTCATTCTTATTGACTGTATACTGTAGAAGCTTGTGTTACTGTAAGCTAGCTATTGTAAGCTAATCTCAAATTCAATTTTACAACAACAACAAAAAACAATAAAAAAGGATTTGTCTGTCTGCATTATAACATGAAATTTACAAAACAATATGAAACACAAACCATAATATGATAAAGCATATCTTAAAACTGGTGCTTCTAAGCACTGAATCTTTCTATTATCCCAGTCTATGTTAACAAACCAACACCTGTTAAAATCTCATATATGACTTAGATTTAAACAGGTGTAGACAAATAACATGCACATCTGTACAGCAAAACAACTGTACATCTCAACATCTTCTCTATGGCATCCAAGACTTCCATTCCAAATTTTTGACAGCAATTATTCTGCTTGAAAACTGACAGAACGAGAGAATCTGACAAGATTTCTGTCTATACTTGGTCTGACATTTCTGACATCACTTAACTTCATGTATATCAAATTAATTATACACTTTAAGTAAACTTACATAGTTAGTTTGTAAGTCTGGGTGATCTTTCTCTATTCCATCATCTAGAATGGTAACCACCACCCCTTTACCAGTCACACCCTGCTCCCAAGCACTTCTTACATTCATGTCCAAACCTCCTCCTCGACTCTGAAAATTAATGGAAAATTATCAGTACTAGCACTGTTCAAACATTTGCATTATCTTATAGATAATGTCTAGTGAAATATTCAACCTAAGACTTGTGACTATGTTAATATGTAGTGGAGTGTTCAACCTAAGACTTGTGACTATGTTAATGTGTAGTGAAGTGTTCAAACATTACTTGGGTCCTTAGAGTAAGACTAGTGACTATGTTAATGTATAGTGAAGTGTTCAAACATCTCTTGGGTCCTTAGAGTAAGACTAGTGACTATGCTAATGTGAAGTGAAGTGTTCAAAATTCTCTGTGATCCTAAGAGTAAGACTTGTGACTATGTTAATGTGCAGTGAAGTGTTCAAACATCTCTGTGATCCTAAGACTTGTGACTATGTTAATGTGTAGTGAAGTGTTCAAACATCTCTGTGATCCTAAATCTTGTGACTATGTTATTGTGTAGTGAATGTTTTCATACATCTTTGTGATCCTAAGACTTGTGACTATATTAATGTGTAGTGAAGTGTTCAAACATCACTGGGGTCTTAAAAGTAAAACTTGTGACTATGTTAATGTGTAGAGAAGTGTTCAAACATCTCTGTGATCTTAAAACTTGTGCCTATGTTAATGTGTAGGGAAGTGTTCAAACATCTCTGTGATACTAGGAGTAAGACTAATGACTATGTTAATGTGTAGTCAATTGTTCAAACATCTCTGTGATCTTAAAACTTGTGACTATGTTAATGTGTAGTGAATTGTTCAAACATCTCTGTGATCCTAAGAGTAAGACTTGTGACTATGTTAATGTGTAGTGAATTGTTCAAACATCTCTGTGATCTTAAAACTTGTGACTATGTTAATGTGTAGTGAAGTGTTCAAACATCTCTGTGATCCTAAGAGTAAGACTTGTGACTATGTTAATGTGTAGTGAATTGTTCAAACATCTCTAGATCTGTGATCCTAAGACTTGTGACTTTGTTAATGTGTAGTGAAGTGTTCAAACATCTCTGTGATCCTAAGAGTAAGACTTGTGACTATGTTAATGTGTAGTGAATGTTTTCAAACATCTCTGTGATCCTAAGACTTGTGACTATGGTAATGTGTAGTGAAGTGTTCAAACATCTCTGCGGTCTTAAGGCTTGTGCCCATGTTAATGTGCAGTGACGTGTTAAAAAATATTAATAATTCTAAGACTTGTGACTATGTTAATGTGTAGTGAAGTGTTCAAACATCTCTGTGACTCTAAGAGTTTGACTTGTGACTATGTTAATGTGTAGTGAATTGTTCAAACATCGCTTGGGTCCTTAGAGTAAGACTAGTGACTATGTTAATGTATAGTGATGTGTTCAAACATATCTTGGGTCCTTAGAGTAAGACTAGTGACTATGCTAATGTGTAGTGAAGTGTTCAAACATCTCTGTGATCCTAAGACTTGTGACTATGTTATAATAATGTGTAGTGAATGTCTTCAAACATCTTTGTGATCCTAAGACCTGTGACTATGTTAATGTGTAGTGAATGTTTTCAAACATCTCTGTGATCCTAAGACTTGTGACTATGGTAATGTGTAGTGAAGTGTTCAAACATCTCTGCGGTCTTAAGGCTTGTGCCCATGTTAATGTGCAGTGACGTGTTAAAAAATATTAATAATTCTAAGACTTGTGCAAATATTAATGTGTATTGAATAGTTCAAACTCTATTCAATCATCTTCATGATCATCAGAACAATATTTGGAATTACAATTAATTATGTCAGTTGATACAAAGGATTCAATGATTTTGTTTTATTAGGAGTGAAGTCTTCCTATGTCTGAATTCTTCTAGAATTTCAGCAGTTAAAGCCTTCTCCCCTATATATGCAATATCATATTGAATTTTAAAGAGTATAGACACTCTCACAGCACTGTGAACTGACCATTTATTGACTTTCTTGATAAACTAGAGGCTCTAAAGTGCCAGTGTTGCTCACCTTGGTCTATGTGCATATTCAACAAAGGACTCTCCAACATTGTAGATGAGAATAGAATTCATGACAAAAATCTCTGTTTTGTTGATCTTGTAATGCTGATCATTTAGTCTGTTTAGTTTCTCTCTATCTTCTTTATTTTTTGCTTCTGAACATTTCTGCTCTAGTCAGATTTTCTCTATTTACAATAGTTTTCAAAATAATAGACAAAACTTGCATTTTACCCCTTTGTTCTATTTTTAACCATGTCGGCCATCTTGGTTGGCCGGCGGGATCATCGGACACAATTTTTAAACTAGATATCCCAATGATGATTGTGGTTAAATTTGGCCCAGTTAAGTTTCAGAGGAGAAGATTTTTGAAAAAGTTAACGATGACGGACGACGGATGCCAAGTGATGAGAAAAGTTCACTTGGCCCTTCGGGCCAGGTGAGCTAAAAAGCAGTAGTTCAGCCACTTAATTGTTTTTTCTTAATTCAAAATTACCATAAAAGTATCTGCAACTCTTTTCGCAAAAAAATATTACTTCAGATAGAAAATAATTGTACAGTAGGTCATGAATACTTCAGTATAATTTCCAGTCTTTAGCTTTGATTTAAAATAGATATATGAAATTACAGGGATAAAATAATTAAGTATATATATGTATGGAAATTAAGAGTATCTCCTAATTAATAGTATCAGCTTTAATAAGAAATCAAAATACCTTTGGGAAAACTAAAGATAGAAATTCCAATTATTTTAGAACCTCATTTGCAGTTTGGAATTCTGATATACTGAGAAAAAAATTCCCTCACAGAAACATTGACAAAGTCAGAATTCCTAATTAGAACTAATTTACTATAATGCCAAATGTATGTCATGAATCTTAAATAAAATACTAACAGAATGATACCCATAAGAGTTCTTTCCTAATGGATTTATAGCATTAAGTTGCTTCAATTACACAAACTGTTGCTTTATGATGCACAATCATATACATTATTTAACAAAATAAAGATACAAGTGTGAACAACCTATAGTAATTATTTTTACAGAAATGATCTAAGAACTAATAAGCGTGCATGACCAAGACATGGTATGTAAGAATTAACCACCGTCCTATTCAAAAGGTCCCATGTTGATTGTATGCTAATCAATACACCACTTCCTTATAACATGCCAGTCCTACAGAGGGAAATGGTGGACTTCTGGGGACTAACATACAGTAAACTGTGAAGTCTCAATGATCCACTGAGGATCATGTAAAGAAACAATTAGTTCAATGGTATTATAGGTGATTAATAAACTCTGTTAAACTAACAATACCCATAAGTACACTATAGTCCATGTTTTCTGGATACTTCTGCTTAATTATTCCAGATCCCAAAGCTGGCAAAGGTCTAATGAATAGCCATAAAACTTCATTACTGTCATGTCTGCATGTTAGGTCAATATTCAATTAAAAAAATTTATGTAAACAGGACAAGTCATTTCTTTTTTATTCTTGGAAACTATTGTGTATATATGTTACTTACACAACTTTTGACTTTAAAAAAAAATTATTAATAAACAACATGAAAAGTAGAAACCCATGTCCTCCGATTCATGATTACATGGACACTACCCATGTCTCTCTTCATTCAGAGGGAAACTTTACAGTAGAGAATACACATTTATTTTCTTTGGGTTTATGTACATATATGTGCTATGAATGGACTTTTGTCATGGCTTCTAAATGTCGCTGTTTGAAAAAGTGCTGCATCAAAGCTACTTGGTTAAGCTGGTTTCATGGTGTTAATTATTCCTCTGACCAACAGAATATAAGTACGGGTACTTAAATTCATCCTCTGTCTCTTCAGACACAACATCAACAAAAATAATAAGGTTTCAAAGGCAATACATCTGCTATACTCTTAAATCAGTCTGGGCAATCCATGAATTCAACAAGGTTAGTAACTTCAGTACATGCTGAATTCAACTCCATTTTGTTTTACTTCTTTCAGCTTTTTAACCATTTGGTCACAAAAATAATACTTTGACAAAAATGAAAATGTTTAGGACATTTGGCATATTAAAAAAGTAGTTAAATTTCATGGATTTTCCAAATGATTAGATTTCCTCTTATATTCAGAAGAGATTTCAAAGAAGATGTGCTTAAGTTTCTCCAAAGTAATCATATGTTTCTTTGCAAACTCTGATAAGCCAATTAAAATAGAAAATAAACCAATTAAAATGGAAATTTTAATGCACTTTCTTGCATCATGCTTATATAAGACAGTATTTTATCCAGATAAATTCATTCTAAATGGAAATTCCCAATGGAACTTCATCTAAAAACTCTGCAGCTACCAATAAATCTTGGAATAAAGATTAAATACAAATGATTTTTGCTGCATCTTTATTTTCACAAGTGATCAATGCTGTTGTTATGGTAACCCTTCATATTTAAGAAAATTGTCTTTTTACAATAATACACTGCCTCCTGACTTATTAGGGTAAAAAATGAACTCCATGTCAGTCATGTCAAAAGAAATCACATTGCCAACATTAAAGAATAACATCTTTTACCCAATAGTGTCTGGAAAATGTAAAAATCAACATATAGAAATGTCAACATTGATACTTTTTCCATCAATTTTCTTTTCCCATATATAGTAAATTGAAGTTCTAAGTATTGTGTTGTGGTAACAGTATGGAGATCTTTATAACATCTATCTTCTCAACACAAATCGTTTTGTTTTTCACTCAAAATCTTTCACATACAACATAAATGTCAAAATTTTAAAGTTTTAAAATGGAAAAAGATTGCAGTATATAAATAAGCAACAGAGATTTCACTCTGACTTCCTCCACAAAGATGAATGGATGGGAGCCATTATATGCCTGGTATGGTTTTAAGTTTTCTATAAAGAACTTTAACATTTCAAATATAGATTAATAAGAAGATACATGTGTAAAGGAAATAATTATAAAATAACAAAATAACCGAAATTTTAAATAAGTCTTTTTATTCAACAAATGGGGACGAGGAAAGCTTTATACTTAAACCAATCTTCCTTTGAAAAA